GCATACACACATACACATGCAGACGCATGCACACAGGCATACATATATATACACACGCATACACATATACACATGCACACACACATGCACACACAAGCACACATGGATACACATATACACACACGTACACCCACGCACACACACATATACACATGCACACACACGCATACACATATACACATGGACACACACATGCACACACGCACACACATATACACACATACGTGCACACACACGCACACAAAATGCACACACAATGCACACACAGTTCCACACACGCACACACAATGCACACATGTGCACACACATACACATGCGCACACACGCATACACGCATACACACAGACACACGCAAACACATATACACATGCACACACACATATACACGTGCACACGCATACACATACATACGCACATACATATACACATGCGCACACACATATACACTTGCACACACATATACACACGCACAAACACATGCACACATGCATACACATATACACACGCACACACATGGACACACATGTACACATGCACACACATACACAAGCATGCACGCACATGCACACATACACGCACACGCATGCACACACATATGCACATGCACACACGCATGGACACACACGCCCATGCACACATGCATACATATATACACACGCACACATGCATACACATATACACACGCACACACGCATCCACACACGCACACATGCATGCACATATACACAGACATGCACATGCACACACATATACACGCACACACATGCACACATGCATACACATATATGCACACAGATACACATGCACACACATGTGCACATGCATACACATATACACACGCACACACAGACACATACACGCACACACACATACATGCATACACATATACACGTGCACACATACAATACGCACACACGCATACACACAGGTACATGCATACTCATGCACGCACACATGTGCACACACGTTATTGCAGCCCTAGATGCATTCTGATCTCTGCCTAATGTTGAGTTTGGAAGATAAGCATGTACACAAGACCACATGAGCATCAGCCCATTGCACATGGAGCCGTGAGGAACCGTGGAAGCAGAAGGCACGTGACAGTGGAAAAGGAGAGCCCTGAAGAGCAGGGAGGGCCCCCGTGGGCCCAGGAGGCATGGGCATCAGCCCACACGAGTGTGGAGTGTGTGCAAGCGCAGAGACCGGAAAGAGCCCCGAGTGTGCAGAGAAGTCAGTGCTGGGGGTGAAGAAAGGAAGGGGGAGTGGGAGCCTCTCCCAGGCTCTCCTGCAGCACACAGGAGAGCCCTTCACCCTTCTGTTCACACCAGAGCCTGAGAGGCCATCTTCAGGATTCTCTTTCCTTTTTCTCCAGAAATGCAATTCTTTAAAAAGTCCTTCTGTCTCTAATGCCAAATTCTATGTGGGATCTGTCAAATTGTTTGCCATGTTCAGGCCATTCCCACCTCTTTCTTAGAATTAAAATACTTCCCTAATTAATATTTGTCTCCAGTCTTTCTTAACTATCCATTTTGTAGATGGCAGCCAACACGTGCTTTAGAAAATATTCACCATGTAACAGATCTCTCCCTCTTCTGAGTTCTGAGAGTGTCACCTCTTCATCTTCTCCCCAAAGTTCGTCCTTCACTCCTTTCCCCTTCGTCCCTCCCCAGCTTCCTCCTCAGACCCAAGTCCTTCAGACCTTTTGTTCCTGCTAGTGGGGATTTCGTCTGTCCTGTAAAGTAGGTTTGCCTTTTAGTGTCCTGGTTTTTCCGGTAAACAGCATTCCTTCCCCATTAGAAACTGGTGTGGGATTGCAGACTCCCATAATTTGTGTGCATTCCCACAACCGAGAACAAGGAGGAAAAGAATCCGAGCTCAGCCGTGCCCTTGTAGAGGGCTCACCGTGGAGCGCCGCGTCATGGTCGCGCCCGGACCGAGCTGCGAGGGGGCTCTGGGCCTCTGCAGTTGCACATCTCGGGCTTTCTCACTCTTTCTGGCCCATCGGGTCAGTGAGACCCTTGTGGACTAGCTTCGTCTCCCACCCTCTCCAGGATGATTGTAAACCTGTCTCTCTCACACCTTAAGCCATATTGCACAATAGAGTTCAGCTTCCTCCCTCTCGGTAAGGCACTCGGTTCCCCATAAATATGAACACATCATGTCTCTCTTCCCCTGTCCTCTGTACTGCAAGGCAGAAACATCCTTCCCTTTGCATATGGCAGACTGCACCATGTGGGGTGGAGGCCCACCGCTTTCCGACTT